ATAGAAAGTATCAACAAGTATATAGTTTGATCACGGACAGTAGTCACTGTGTTGAATGATTTATATAATTTATTTAGCTTGAGGTGATTGTATTCTTCTTAAACTTTGTGATTTGTAATAGTACTGCTTGGACTTTGAAGAAGGGGACACTCCCCGAAAGCTTGTCCTCAAAATTGTATGTTAGTGCAAATAAAAAAAGTATCACGGACAGTACTCTATAATTTATTTATTCATTTTTAGATACATCACTTCAGAATATGAGATAACATAACAGCACTAATATTATTATTTATTAATAATATTATTATTTATTTGTATGTTTAGCACTATGTATGAGTTGGTGTAAGGAGCTAGCGAACTATATGTGCATTTATAATTAATTTATTTGATTAATTATTTATATCACTATTTGAATTTCACCATATTAGCTCACAAGCAGTAATATCACTTGATTTTTATTACTCTGAGGCTCCTTTATTTCGGGACAGCATCCTAGAACAAAATAGAGATTCTCATTGGTCAGCATGATCATATTGCCATTGCTGCCTAATGCGTGCCTTCCTTTTATCACATTATGATATGACATACCCTTTGGCCTTGTGTAGTAATGTTTTAAAGTGCCAAAGTGGACGGAGGATGCGGATCATAAAAGGTATATGCAGCAAGGATCAGGTAGTTGGAAAGGGTGTTGTGAATTAGTTCACCTTTTCATTCTTTGTGAAAAGAAGACCTAACCTTTTAAGGTGAAGCTGACCAGACCTAAATGTTTATAAGATAACAACAGTGCTGAAGTGCAGTCACCTCACGGTGTTTTAGTTTTCAAATATACTATATTGCCAAAAGTATTGAGATACCTGCCTTTACATGAACGTTAATGGCATCCCAGTCTTAGTCCGTAGGGTTCAATATTGAGCTGGCCCGCCCTTTTGCAGCTATAACAGCTTAAACTCTTCTGGGAAGGCCTGTCCACAAGGTTTAGGACGGTGTCTATGGGAATGTTTGACCCTTCTTCCAGAAGCACATTTGTGAGGTCAGGCACTGATGTCGGATGAGAAGGCCTGGCTCGCAGTCTCCACTCTCTTTCATCCCAAAGGTATTCTATCGCATTGAGGTCAGGACTCTGCAGGCCAGTCAAGTTCCTCCATCCCAAACTCGCTCCTTCATGTCTTCATGGACCTTGCTTTGTGCACTGATGCACAGTCATGTTGGGAGAGGAAATGGCCATCCCCAAACTCTTCCCACAAAGTTGGAACATGAAATTGTCCAAAATGTCTTGGCTGACGCAGAAAGAGTTCCCTTCAGTGGAACTAGGGGGCCAAACTCAACCCCTGAAAAACAACCCCACACCATAATCCCCCTCCACCAATTTTACACTTGGCACAATGCAGTCAGGCAAGTACCGTTCTCCTGGAAACCGCCAAACCCAGACACGTCCGTTATAATGCCCTGCTACATAGTGACAGGCACATGCATCATACATTCAGAACTATCCTGATGGGACAATATTTAGGAGTAAGGAGAAATTGCACTGACAAGGTGGAATTTGAGGTGCAGGCAAAGTCCTATCGGACGGCAAAGGATCATCCACAGAACTTACTTTTATTTCAGGGTGAGAACGACAAAAGATTGTGCAAAATACAACTCATTAAACATTTTTAATAATCAGTTTTATTACATCCAAGGTATTTTGCAGAGACACTGGCATGTAATAACTGAGGACCCAAACATTAGACATTGTATCAATGAATAGCCACAGCTTACATTTTGGAGAAATAATTCCTTTTTGAAATATATAGTTTTTAGATATTTTTCCAAAGAGGGTTCCATAGCTCCAGGTGGATTCAATTTGAAAAGGGCTTAAAGATGTGGGCAGTACTTGTTTTCTTCAGTGTTTCATCTGCTGCAAGTTTGATTGCCTTCTCTGATTCCTGAAGAACTGTAGCTTGTTCTGGAACATACTGTAGGTGTGGAGCAAGGCAAATGGGCAGCATGAGTATCTACACTTCTCTGGCCAATCCCAGCCAGATGGCTGCTGGAAGTCTGCATAAATACCCTGAAACACTGAGCTTCCAGGACTTTTTACTTAAAAGGAGATCACAGCCTTAGGGAGAAGACTGCTTGCCCCCTTACACCATCCTGCCATGTGCCTGCTGGGTGTTGATGGCTTTAGGTAGGCAACCTGAGGTCTGCATTGATGAAAATCATAGAAAGCCTACTGAGGGATTGTTGTCTGAGGGTCTAGTCTGATACCACAGGGAGAACATGTTGCATGGATATTGGAAGGAGTCAACCAATTTTTCCAAAGACATTTGTGAGTACAGACTGGTGAGAGAGATCCTAGAGACTTTGGGCTGGAGCTGTTCCTTGTGAGCGAGAGTCAGCTGTGTGTGTGTAAAGGGGACTTAATGTCTAGTGTCCTGAAGATCTTAGTCTATTGTGAAAGGACTTTGCTTGGACTGCTCACAAGAGGAAGATTACTATCCTCAAGTTTGCTACAGGCTCACAGTTCTATAGAAGATAAGTGTCCTCCCCTTTGTAAATATTTTTTGGAGTGTCTTACTCAATTCCATCACCCTATCCAAGTTACCCAAAAAGAAAAACACCAAAAAGAAAACCCCCTGGACATTTCTTTGAGCCGCAGAGTGACTGTGACCATGTGCCTAGCTGCAGGGCAACTGTTTGGAAAAGGAACCCTGGGCATCTTTCTAGGGGTTCCTACGGTGGTAGCGTTGCATGAGAGTGATTTATTGACATCTATATCAAGTTGGTCTGAGAAACCATAATGATTTTTTCCATCTTTCACAATTTTCCTATATTATTTCTTGCTTTTTTAAGCCTTCTGAGTTATCCCCTACATACACCCATCCTTTTTGTTACTTTCTGTTATTTACATATTGTGATTTCCACATCAGTGTTTCTTTCTTTCTTTATCTTTGCTTATTTGATCTTTGTTTGTTTGCTTGTTTTTTTTTTTTTTTGTTTGGACAATTATTGTTTTTTGTTTGATTGGTCTTTGCTTGCTTTTTTTTTGTTTGGTTAATGTGTGCTTGTTTCTTGTTTATTTAGTTGTTGCTTGGGGTCGATGGTGGGTGACGTGCCTACATAGATATATTATTTAATATGAGTATTGGAGGTGCTTATGGTTTTCTCTCAATAGGAGTCTTTAAATTGATGTTATAATCTACTTTGTTTCTTTTTTTATAATGAATATGTCCACCCATCCCTGTAAAACAAGGATCCAGTTTGCCCTATATATATAGAGCTGATGCCACATCCTTAATTTTGTTACAAGGAGAATAACACATCCTAGGACTTTCACGGCACACAAACATTTGTATAAACTACATATAAATATATATAAAAATTAAAAAATTAATTTGGTTGACCACAAAATCCAACGAGAATGACTCATCTACATCATCAACAGCTAAATTGTGGTTGACCACAAAATCCAATGAGAATGACTCATCTACATCATCAACAGCTATCTGTTCTTATTATCCACAAGTGTCCTCCCCTTCGTAAATATTTTTTGGAGTGTCTTACTCAATTCCATCACCCATCCAAGTTACCCAAAAAGAAAAAACACCAAAAAGAAAACCCCCTGGACATTTCTTTAAGCCGAAGAGTGACTGTGACCATGTGCCTAGCTGCAGGGCAACTGTTTGGAAAAGGAACCCTGGGCATCTTTCTAGGGGTTCCTACGGTGGTAGCCCTGCATGAGAGTGATTTATTGACATCTACATCACGTTGGTCTGAGAAACCATAATGATTTTTTCCATCTTTTTATAATTTTCCTATATTATTTCTTGCTTTTTTAAGCCTTCTGAGTTATCCCCTACATACACTCATCCTTTATGTCCCGTTTGTCATGTTAAGTGATGCAATATGTGACCATTTTCTGCTTTAAAAAAGTTGTGCTCTTCTCTCTAGTTCCTTATAATCTCTTCCTAGCCTGAATGATTGGTTTTTATCCACAAATAAAAAATCCAAACATACAAAAGTATCACATAACAGATACTAGTAGAAAAAAAAAGAAAAGCCAAACTTAAATAGGTACCAGAAGCCGATGACACGCATTCTAGAATTTGGGCAGCAGTCAAGCTAATATCGACAAACTCCGTACCACATGCCACTGTGCCATCAGGTCCCCCATTCAAACAACTCCTGCAAATGGTATCATTTCGCTCCTAATTTACTTGCTTAGGTTAAGCCATTAGTCATTCCCAATATCCTCAACGTGCAGGTAATTTTCCACATTATTAGTTACCCACCTGTCTTATTAAGCTGGACTTTGTGAAACCCTTTGAGTGTCAACATACCGATTCCTTTAGCTCAAATACATCATTGCTGGTGCTTTAAAAAAAAAAGAAAAAAAATCCAACTTAATGGGTATATAATAGATTGATCCAAAACCTTAATAACTACAGCAGCTGGTTTCGTTTTCCAAAACGTAGGTGATAAATTTCATGTTTGTAGAGAAGAAGAAATAGAGAGACACAGGAGACCAAAAACATTTTTGTTTTTCGCACGCACTCCAGGTTAAATATAGGCAGGCAGAAGGTAGTCTTCTGGTCTCATCCGCTAATGGAACTCAACTTTGAACCAGCGGGACCAATCTTTAACACATTAAACCGAAGAGCTTGTCTTTGCATGTTGAAAACTTGGCTTCTCCTTAACGAAGATTGCCAAAAATTTCTGCATTATACGGAAGATTTTGCATTTCTTCAGACGCACTTTATTATTGATTATAGCTGATATGAGACCTCTAAACTCATTTTCAGCACAACCTCTCTGCCGCCATCTGTGTGGATGAAAGTTTCGCTCTGGACGGAGGAAATTGGGAATAGAATAGTAATTTGATCAGTGCTCTTGTATAGCCTAACCTGATTTTCAGAAAATATAAAAGTTGGAGGAGAGAATATACTATTAAAAAGGACGAGAAGGTCATTTTTCCCTCCCAGCAAAAAAAAAAAAAAAGCTAATAATAGAATTAGAGAATAAAATAAAATTAATAAATTATGCTGTGCAGATGTACCTGTATAATCCTAATGGATATTTGGAATAAGAAAGCGGTTTGTCCTTTTGAGTGACACATGACTAAAGATAGAACAGCGAATTTAAGTCCCAGGCAGGGACAGATTTAGAATCAAGCTCAGCAGGAAGTTGCCTGGAGGTCTGAAGAGTTGGTATAGTGCAAATCTGATTTTTTTTTTTTTCTTTTTCGCGAAGGGGATGAAACAAAATTAGAAAATCTACTTTTCCAAGTTTTCTGAGTTAGAAATAATTTCCTAAGGCTGCTCTAGGATGGGTCTAAAAAAAAAAAAGAAAAAGTACATACCAGTGGAAGGTGCATTTAGCATGAAAAAGTATACATAGGGACAAGCAAGATCTGTTCAGTTTTGTTTATATTTTGAGGCCCAGGCTGTGGTGTAAATTTTTGAGCCACTGGTAAACATGAATTTTTGAAGCACGGGTCCAGGGGCATTTTTGGGGTCCAAAAAGACCTGAGGTACCTTTGGGCACCTAGAACGAAATGTTGTAGGGCAGTGGTCAGCAGTCTTTTTCACATTAGGCTCCATTTACACGCATTAGACAAATGTCATGCCTGTGCATAGACCTCAAATCAGCCCCAATTCCTGGACCTTCGGACCTTAGATCAGCCCAAGTTCCTGTACCTTTAGACCATAAATCAGCTCCAGTTCCTGCAGCTTCAGATCTAAGGTCAGCCCCAATTTCTGCACATTCACACCTCAGATCCGCCCCAATTCCTGATCTTTCAGACCTCAGATCAACTCCAATTCTTGCATCTTCAGACCGCAGGTCAGCCCCAATTCCTGAACCTTCAGACCCCAGATCAGCTCCAGTTCCTGCATCTTCAGACCTCAAGTCATCGTCAGTTTCTGAACCTTCAGACCTCATATCAGCCCCATTCCTTAACTTTCAGACCTTAAATCAGCCCTAGTTCTTGTACCTTCAGAGCTCAGACCAGCTCCAGTTCCTGCATCTTCAAACCTCAGGTGAGCCACAATCTTTACACCTTCATACCTCAGATCAGCTCCAATTCCTGAACCTTAAGATCTTATATCAGCCCTAGTTCCTGCACCTTTAGACCTCAGATCAGCTCCAGTTCCTGTATTTCAGACCTCAGGACAGCCCCATTTTCTGAACTTTCCGACCTTAGATCAGCCCTAATTCTAGTTCTATCAGAACTCAGATCAGTGCCAATTCCTGCATCTTCATACTTCAGGTCAGCTCCAATTTCAGCACCATCATAAAGGCAAACTATTTTACATCCATTACTTCTGCAGCTGGTGGTTCCATTAGGAAGAAAAGGAGGGTAGGTGGATTGTCTTCAACAGTGAACAACATCCACAGCTGTGGGTGGGCCTACTTTGGTATGGGAAGGAGAGTTGGCATGAATGTCAGATGGGCCTCTCTGAAATTCCATAGAGGTGGGTAGGCCATGGGCACAGAGAGGCAAACCAAAATATGTAATTTGAAAATATCCTTTTTTTGTAGACAGCAGGGGTGCAACAGAGGAGTCTCTAGTCTTCTGGTAAGAAGTCTAAGCCTGCATGCATGCCACCCAGGATTTTCGGGGTGTCACCGAAAACACTGGCACCAGTACTTTTTATTGCTCATTCCTGTTGTAGGGAGTGTAGTATATGACGAAAACAAGTGGGTGATGCTTTTTTGTTTCACCATTTATTTCACCTGTTTTAAAGAATATCTTTGGATCAAATCTGTAATTTAGTAAAAGAGAACAAAAAAATTAACATTAACCTTTTCATGCCCACAGTATGCAAATATGCGGCCTCTTGACAATTGGGCCTTATTTGCGTACCATTTTTAAACAAACATGTGCTGAGAGCGTGCGCTCAGCATGTGTCACCATCCCACGGAAAGGTCCCAGTCTCTCCTTCAATCGAGACCTTTCCAATCATGTGACTGCCATGACAGCCAATCACGGCGGTCACACAACCCTAAACCCCACCCCGCCTCCTGGCGTCAGAAACCTCATAAAGGGCCGGGAGGTGCCGGCGTGAAATGGTTAAAATCAGTTGTATACTACCCAATAAAAAATTATAAAGTTGATCACCTTATGATGTTCCGAAAATGTACAAATAATGTGTAATATCATTGTTAATCAATGGGCAATATAACCCACTTAACGGAGCAGAAGTATATATTGTGTAAAGTATAGGTAAGCATTGAAACAAAGTAATTAATTACAATTTCACTAAATTAACTACTTAACATAATTCTAAAGCTCTTTGAAGAAAAAGCTCTGCAGAAAACGCACAGGTGGCAGCCATCCCCACACAGTACACCAAGCACCATCTGTCCCTGCCCAAGTGTCACATCAACATCTGTACCAGTGTTACATCAGCATCTGCACCAGTGTCACATCAACATATGTGTAACTGTCACATCAACATCTGCACCAGTGTTACATCAACATCTGCACCCGTGTTACATCAACATCTGTGCCAGTGTCACACCAACATCTGCACCAGTGTTACATCAACATCTGAACCCGTGTTACATCAACATCTGTGTACCAGTGTCACATCAACATCTGCACCAGTGTGTACATCAACATCTGAACAGTGTCACATCAACATCTGTGCCAGTGTTACATCAACATCTGAGCCAGTGTCACATCAACATCTGAGCCAGTGTCACATCAACATCTGAGCCAGTGTCACATCAACATCTGCACCAGTGTTACATCAGCATCTGCACCAGTGTTACATTAAACATCTGTACCAGTGTCACATCAACATCTGCACCAGTGTTACATCAACACCTGCACCCGTGTTACATCAACACCTGCACCCGTGTTGCATCAACATCTGAGCCAGTGTCACATCAACATCTGAGCCAGTGTCACATCAAACATCTGCACCAGTGTTACATCAACACCTGCACCCGTGTTACATCAACATCTGTGTCAGTGTCACATCAACATCTGCACCAGTGTACTAGTGTCCAGTCAACAATGGTCACAGTATACCAATGTCACATCAACATGAAACAAAGTCATTAATTACAATTTCACTAAATTAACTACTTAACATAATTCTAAAGCTCTTTGAAGGAAAAAGCTCTGCAGAAAACACACAGGTGGCAGCCATCCCCACACAGTACACCAAGCACCACATGTCCCTGCCAAAGTGTCACATCAACATCTGTACCAGTGTTACATCACATCTGCACCAGTGTCACATCAACATATGTGTAACTGTCACATCAACATCTGCACCAGTGTTACATCAACATCTGTGCCAGTGTCACATCAACATCTGTACCAGTGTCACATCAACATCTGAACCAGTGTTACATCAACATCTGAACCCGTGTTACATCAACATCTGTAACAGTGTCACATCAACATCTGCACCAGTGTTACATCAACATCTGTACCAGTGTTACATCAACATCTGTAACAGTGTCACATTAACATCTGTGCCAGTGTTACATCAACATCTGAGCCAGTGTCACATCAAACATCTGAGCCAGTGTCACATCAACATCTGCACCAGTGTTACATCAACATCTGCACCAGTGTTACATCAACACATCAACATCTGCACCCGTGTTACATCAACATCTGAGGCAGTGTCACATCAACATCTGCACCAGTGTTACATCAACATCTGTGCCAGTGTCACATCAACATCTGCACCAATGTTACATCAACACCTACACCCGTGTTACATCAACATCTGCACCCGTGTTACATCAACATCTGAGGCAGTGTCACATCAACATCTGCACCAGTGTTACATCAACATCTGCACCAGTGTTACATCAACATCTGTGCCAGTGTCACATCAACATCTGCACCAATGTTACATTAACACCTACACCCGTGTTACATCAACATCTGCACCCGTGTCACATCAACATCTGAGCCAGTGTCACATCAACATCTGCACCAGTGTCACATCAACATCTGCGCCAGTGTCACATCAACATCTGCACAGTGTCACATCAACATCTCTACCAGTGTCACATCAACATCTGTGCCAGTGTCACATCAACTTATGTACCAGTGTCACATCAACATCTGTACAAGTGTCACAAAACATCTGTCATAGTGTACTAGTGTCCAGTCAACATTGGTCACAGTATACCAGTGTCACATCAACATCTGTGCCAGTGTCACGTCAACATCTGTACCAGTGTCGCATCAACATCTGTAACAGTGTACTAGTGTCCAGTGTCCAGTCAACTTCGGTCACAGTATACCAGTGTCACATCAACATCTGTACCAGTGTCACATTAACATCTGTCACAGTGTACTAGTGTCCAGTCAACATTGGTCACAGTATACCAGTGTCACATCAACATCTGTGCCAGCGTCACATCAACATCTGTAACAGTGTCACATTAACATCTGTGCCAGTGTTACATCAACATCTGAGCCAGTGTCACATCAACATCTGAGCCAGTGTCACATCAACATCTGCACCAGTGTTACATCAACATCTGCACCCGTGTTACATCAACATCTGCACCCGTGTTACATCAACATCTGAGGCAGTGTCACATCAACATCTGCACCAGTGTTACATCAACATCTGCACCAGTGTTACATCAACATCTGTGCCAGTGTCACATCAACATCTGCACCAATGTTACATCAACACCTACACCCGTGTTACATCAACATCTGCACCCGTGTAACATCAACATCTGAGGCAGTGTCACATCAACATCTGCACCAGTGTTACATCAACATCTGCACCAGTGTTACATCAACATCTGTGCCAGTGTCACATCAACATCTGCACCAATGTTACATTAACACCTACACCCGTGTTACATCAACATCTGCACCCGTGTCACATCAACATCTGAGCCAGTGTCACATCAACATCTGCACCAGTGTTACATCAACATATGTGCCAGTGTCACATCAACATCTGCACCAGTGTCACATCAACATCTCTACCAGTGTCACATCAACATCTGTGCCAGTGTCACATCAACTTATGTACCAGTGTCACATCAACATCTGTACAAGTGTCACAAAACA